TTTCACCGGTCTTTCTGTCCTGGTCTTACTAAATCACAACGTTTTTGTTCTGTTTAAAGTGTAGAAAATGAAAAGAGCCAGCAGAGAAAGCTAATGCATGGTTGCATGTTGTGAAGTTGTGTCAGAAAATAGAGCTCAATACCTGTGTTCAGTTACTGGAAAGAGATTTGATTTTACATTTCTTGGAGATAAAAAGCAGAATTGTGGGGGCAAGGCTCGTTGTTCAGCTCTGCAACTGTTGCTGCATCCCAGTGCCAATCCCATCATGCCATGAACTGTGACAATCCCCCAAATCCAGGAAGTGCCATGGGTTTTTCTAAAAAAATAAAAATAAAAAAAAAAGTTTTATTTTGAGTAGACTGACATAGTTCATTATTGGAATATTTTTACCAAATACAAAATTAGACCAGGAACAATACAATGAATCTTGAATACAGGATGTATAGTATGCATTCTCACACATGTTAATAGTATGGCGCTTGGTTGTATGAGCCCTAGAAATACTGACATTTAGAGGCAACATGGCAGCCTAGCAGGACAGTATATGTGTTGATGCCAGCATTCACTCTGAAGCCAGGAACAATTTATTACCTGGTGGAATTCAAAAACTATTTAATGAAAGGGAAGGGGGATACAATTTAAGGGGTCAGTTAAATTTAAAAATTCATGCTATACCTACAACCAAAAAAAGATTTTGTATATCCATAAGTGGGGTAAAACTATGGAATAATTTAAGTGCAGACATAAAAAATAGTAATAGAATTGACGAGTTTAAATATAAATATAAAGGTATGTGTCAATCAAGATATATGCAAGAACAGGTTTAATGATTAATTAGATGGAACATTGTGGGTGTGGTGTATGAATGTTAACACTTTGTAATAATTCTTTAGTATATTACTTGTGTGGTGTAGAAGATAAGTATTTAAGAATGTAATTATGTAAGAATGTTGGATTAGCATTTGTTGGATATGTGTAAAATTATGTGTGTTGACATATCAACTGTCTTTACATGCTTGAAAGAATAAATCAAATCAAAATCAAGTTAGAAATGTTTTGTAGCCATATCCCATGAATCATAGACAATAACACCGTTGCTGTAGGGAGTGGCCAGTTTGATTACCTCAGTGTTATGTTACAGTGATCTCAGTGTTGTGACTCTTTGAAGGAATTCCTGGAATTCTCTTTTCCCCTTAGTGCTCTGACATGTTTACCAAATGCTTACTGTCACCTGTTTTCTTAGTGCTCTTTGTGTCAAAATAAGCTAACAAAATTTTATGGCTGCTATCTGCAGGACAAGGTCATCTAAAGACAAACTTGTATGTTCAATATGAATTTGGTTTTGTTTATACTATTAAACAGGCATTTATGGTGTAGGAAAAGGTTTGCATTTTAGCTTTAGGTTTCCATGTCTGAACAATCAATACAAATATGGGGTGCAGGAGTACAGGGTACATTGTTGTAAGAAATAATAATAAAAAGCTGTAAAATGTATAATACCACCTTTACTATTTAGGAAACCTAACTGGAAGATATGAAACCATCCAAACCATGGTTGCATGCCTCCTGTAAATACAAATATCCTCTCAATGTTGTGTGAATATCTGTCTTTTTGTAGGATGCCTCAGATTTCCATTTATGCGGTATTCCTTGCTGGCAGTGCACTTCTTTGAAATGCCATCAGAGATAAGTTACCAATGAAGTGGTCCTCCATGCTGCTACAGTGATTTTTCTAAAGCATCAGGTGCTTTGTTTAAGGGGGGGAGGGTTCAGCTGACCATGGTGAGGCTGATATGGTGATACAATCCAGGCCCATGGGGTTTATAACGGACACCAGACAAAACCTCTCATGGCATCTGAGATGAAAGTTGGCTACAAGGAGACAGGTATTTTGTAGTTGAGAGACCCTGGGGATGGCATAGTGTTCCATACACAGAGCTCATCACAAGAGGAGCCGCCCTGAGTGCCCTTAAGCCCTTTGTTATCCTAGGCTAGAGTGCAGTTAATTAGCAACAGTCTCTATAGCAACTGTGTTGCAATACAAAACAATTTCTAATTTCTGCTTCCTACCTTATTGTGGTGTTTACCTGAAGTGTTTGGGATGTGCTGAGACCAGCATTGGCTGGCATTGTGCCCATGCTCTGAGGCTAATTGTAACTGCAGTGGAAGATGCATCTGTGTAGTGTTTCACCTGACACTAGCCATGACCCCAGAGTTTACTTAGAATATTTTAAAAAGTAAAGGGAAGTGGAGGGTGCTGGCCCCTAGCCAAAGGCCTAAGATTCTGCACTTGCATAATTCACCTGCTGTGCTAGACTGCATTCATTTATCCCAGAAATAGAGATGATAAATGAAACAACACGCTTCACTTGAATTGTATGTTTATTCATTGAGTTATGTATTTGCACTTGCCCCAAAAGCTAAATGTTATTGATGAATTTTTCTCAGTTACTGTTTAGAACAGGGGGAGAACTGTTTTTTTATTCTGTCTACTGAGACATAAATATGCAGATACATACTCTACTTGTAGGCTATACCACACCTATGTAGTGTTTTGCTGAGACCACCAGTTGTATGTGATGCATGATCTTGCAAGTCTATTCAGATATGAGTGATAGAGACATTCATGGTACTTTTCTGTGCCTGAATCTAGCTCTGATGAACAGTAGTAGTAATCATACCACTGATTTCACATATTTATTCTAAAAATTATAAATATAGTCAACACATTATGTTGTAAGCATGCTGCTGGACACGGAGCCTCCAGCCGCATGTGTCTTGTGATGTAAAGCTTTTCCTGTTACCATTCTGCTGTTTGCTGTGCCATCTTTGTCAGAGATCCAGCCCAGACCCCTCCTGTGGGAACTAAGTGGCACTTGGTTTGCAGAGATGCCAAGGATGAGTTAGATATAATGAGCAGACCTGGCTTGCTCCCGATGGCCCAGCACTGTGCTCCTCTGGGGCTCGTCTCAGCAGGCCAAGCATGCTCGGAGACTGAGCGAGTGGACCTGATCCTCCCTGCTGGGTGGATAATGAGGAATTCTGGGATCAGCTCAGGCTCCCCAAGTCACCTGCATTCACTCAGAATGGAGTGTGAGGAACTTCATTGCAGGAGAGGCGTCACACACCTCCAGAATAATCTCTCATTTGTTCCCCTGCCATTGTCAGTGTAAGGCTACTGTGTTTTCACACAGGGTAGTGAAAAAAAGTCCAATTACTTTTATATCTTTCACAAAAAGAGTAACAGTTGAAAGCGTAAATAGCTTTGATGCAGGTATGATGAGGGAAGGAAGAAGTCATTTTGAGTTAAGATTCAAGATTTTAAGGTTGGGTTGTGGCAAGCTGGTTATTTATTCATTGTGGGTCGCTATGGAGATGCCTTTTACTTCTTTCAGCCTG